TTCAGCACTGATTTCCTTTAGGATGGACTGGTTGGATCTCCTTGCAGTCCAAGGGACTCTCAAGAGTCTTCTCCAATACCATAGTTCAGAAGCATCAATTCTTCAGCGCTCAGTTTTCTTTATAGTCTAACTCTCACATCCATACATGACCACTGGAAAAACCTTAGCTTTGACTAGACGGACCTTTATTGACAAAGTAATGTCTCTGCTTTTTAAGATGCTGTCTAGGTTGGCCATAGCTTTTCTTCCAAAGAGCAAGCGTCTTTTAATTTCATGGCTGCACTCACCATCTGCAGTGATTTTGGAGCCCCCAAAAATGAAGTCTGTCACTGTTTCCATTGTTTCCCCATCTATTTGCCATGAAGTGATGGGACTGGATGCCATGATCTTAGTTTTTTGAATGTTGAGATTTAAGCCAACTTTTTCACTCTCCTCTTTTCACTTTCATCAAGAGACTCTTTAGTTCGTCTTCACTTTCTGCCATAAGGGTGGTGTCATCTGCATTTCTCAGGTTATTGATATTTCTCCCGGCAATCTTGATTCCTGCTTGTGCTTCATGCAGCCCAGCATTTGGCATGATGTACTCTGCATATAAGTTAAAAAGCGGGGTGACAATATACAGCCTTGACATACTCCTTTCCTGATTTGGAACCAGTCTATTCTTCCATGTCCAGTTCTAACTGTTGCTTCCTGACCTGCACACAGATTTCTCAAGATGCAGGTCAGGTGGTCTGGTATTCCCATCTCTTTAAGAATTTTCCACAGTTTGTTGTGATCCACATAGCTAAAGACTTTGGCATAGTCAATAAAGCAAATAGATGTTTTTCTGGAACTCTCTTGCTGTTTTGATGATCCAGTTTGTAGCAGATACAAACTACTATATATAAAATACATAAACAACAAGGTCCTTCTGTATACCACATAGAACTCTATTCAATATCCTTAATAAACCACAATGGAAAAGAATATGAAATATATATATATACATGTATATATATATATATATATATATATATATAAACTGAGTCATTTTATTGTACACCAGAAACTAAGACAGTATTGTAAATTAACTATATTCCAATAAAAGTAAATAATAAATAAATAAAACAAAGAAAAGCCCCAACACAATCAATGAGCATTTGCTTCAAAAGAATTTAAGAATTTAAAAGAAATTATCTTTCTAATCTTAAGAACTGAAATTTTGGAAAAGCATGGGAAATTTTGAGGCGTTTGGTGAAGAGGAAATAAATCACAAGAGGGATGGAACACTGGACCCAAGAAGAAAGGGTAAAGATTTCAGTGGTACTCACTCCACACAGAAGCAGGTAAGGGGCGGGGGGCTAGACCCTCACGGCACTCAGTATCCTCAGAAATTCTAAAATGGTAGTGAATTCCACCTACCTCGGCTCTTCCTGGACCATGTCCCGGGAGCCTCAGTTAATAAGGCAGTTAAGTTACTTCAGGCAGCTCTGACTCTGTGACCCTGGGCACAGAGTCCTCTGTCCATGGGATTCTCCAGGCAAGAGTGGATTGCCATGCCCTCCTCCAGGGGATCTTCCGTGAGTTAATAAGGTCCTGAGATAATACCAACATGAGTTGCACCTGCAAAGTGATCCCGTGCTCCCTGTCAGCTGGAGGCTGGGTGACCAGGAACCATGTCTTCTCTCTCCCCAGTGGTGACACTCAGGGCACATACTCAGTACCCACTAGGCGCCAGGCATGCTAGGAAGCCTGGGCATCCTTGCTCAGCAACATGACAGACTCCATTTTCCAGAGAAGGAAGCACTTCCTAAGAGTGTGCATGATCAAGTGTTAGTCGCTCAGCCACGTTCAACGCTTTGAGACCCCATGGACTGTAGCCTGTCTGTAGCTCCTCTGTCCATGGGATTCTCCAGGCAAGAATACTGGAGTGGGTAGCCATTCCTTTCTCCAGGGGATCTTCCCGACTCAGGGACCCAACTTCAGTCTCCTTCATTGCAGGCAGATTCTTTACCATTGGCGCCACCAGGGAAGCCCCATGGATGATCAAACCCATAAAAATTCCAGTCAAAGTTACGGACCTAAAGAATGAAGAGGACAATTTTATGTCTTGGCGGGAGGACAAAAATCTGACCCCAGGACCTTTCCACCTCAAGCAGCCAGTAGAAGAGCCTAGGATTGTCCAGAAGCTCTCTCTGCTCAGCCACCTGCCCCTCCTTTTCTCAGGATGAGCAGTGTTTCCAGGCAGCAGAGAGGAGCGGTGGCCGTCTAGTCCTGAGATCTGTCTGTCCTGTCTGACTTGGGTCCTGGCTCTGGGCCTGGGGTCCAGAACCTTTCACCAGCCTGCTTTCTGATGACGTGGACAGTTTGGGTCTTGTCTAGCCCCTGAAAGGAGCCAGGGTCTCTGAGGGACCCCAGCAGGGAAGGAGCAGAGCAACAGGCGCACCCTGACTCATGACTCTTCTCTCCTCCAGCCAACAGCTAAGCTCAGCTGGGAGCGAGAGGGCAGGAGAGCCAGGGGACATAGGCCACAAAGGACAGCCTCTGGGATGCTGAGCAGAGTGGAGATGGGCGGAGAATGAAGGAGGACTTGGGGGACCACTGGAGGCCAGCGCAGATGGTAAGGCGTGCAGCCGGGATTGGGAATGACCACCGGCGGAGGAGAAGGCAGAGCAATTGATGTGGAACATTTAGCCCCAGCCGGACTTCAGTCCCAGCACCCTCCGGGCAGTCCAGGAGAGCACTCTCAACGCATAAGCCATCTATCGTCCTGCCCTTGCCACTGTCCACCAGGACGAAGAAGACAGGGCTGCAGTCTTGAGTTCCACTAGCGGAGGAGGGCCAGTGGGTGAGCACGTGGGGGAAATCACTCCTGCACAACCCGTCCCGCCGGGCAGCACAGGGCCTGGAGGGAGAGGGGGACAAAATCAGAACTCCGTGTCACAAACACCTTCTCGCCTTCTCTAAGGATGCTCCCTCTTCTACAGGCATTGCGCTGTGACACGCAGTGGGTTCAGTCCTCTGCATTCAGACGAGCCAGCATCTTCAACAGATACAAGAGCCCATGCTCAGCGACAGGGGAAGGACAGAGGGTGGCCCGGCGAGGGGCGGGGTGTGGGGAGGAGCCACATGGGAATGAAGGGAGGAAGAAAAGCTGGGGGATTTTGTGCAATCCCAATGAGAATAGCCACCGAAGATGCCTGCGTACGTATGTATGTGTTAGTCACTCAGTCGTATCTGATTCTTTGCCATCCCCTGGAGTGTAGCCGGCCAGGCTCCTCTGTTCACGGGATTCTCTAGGCAAGAATACCGGCGTGAGTAGCCACTCCCTTCTCCAGGGGATCTTCCTGACCCAAGAATCAAACCCGGGTCTCCCACTTTGCAGGCAGATACTTTATCTGAGCCACCAGGGAAGCCCAAATATGCCTAACATTTTAAAAATAATTTTAAAAGATTTTTTAAAAATATCATTATTGGGCAATGCAGCATGTGGGATCTTGGTGCCCTGACCAGGGATCAGAGTTGCACCCCTTGTATTGGAAGGGTGGAGTCTTAACCACTGAGCAACCAGGGAAGTCCTCCTAAACTTCTGATAGAGATAAAACAGCTACTGATAATGATAACCGTTTCAGTTTTGCTCGATTATGATCCCTAGATCACAACGTCTCATTACCACGCCCCTCTCCTCCCCAGCCCCCCGCATTAAAAAAAAAAAAATCTGACTTTTTGGATTCTTTTTGTTTGAAGAAAGTCAACTTCAAGAATGACTGACTGCATCCTCATTCAAAACCAATCTGAAGTCTGGGCAGGGCCTGCAGACATTTTGTCTCCTCTCTGCCTCTGTCCCGGGCTCCATCTAGCGTCCACCATCCAGTACTACACTCTTCATCCCACTTTGGAAGATGTCTTTTTTTTTTTTCCCATGATGAGCTGGTTTCATAGAAAGTCATGAGACTTGATAGGGGGAAAAAATTGGCTTCTGTGACAGAAATTTTTTAAAAGTTGTTGAGCAATAAAGACTTCCCATTTATTGGATTTCACACATGATTTTGCCTGAGCCAAACCAGAGACTCATGACTCTTAAAAACAATGAATAGGCAGAGTACAGAGGGTTTGGGCAGTTTTCCCAGGACTGTCTTGTTTTTAGGACAGATGTCTGTGTGGACATAGGAAAAGATGACTGATTTGCACATGGAATACACACACTTTTCAGGGTCAGGTCTCATACAGCTAAGACTTACTGGAGTTCTTGTTTGGGGCTGAACTGTGCCCCCAACCCAAATTCAAATAAATCCTAACCCCAAGTTCCCCGGGACAGAACGACACTGGAGATGAGGCATTTAAGTTAAAAGGACGACTGGTGTCCTTATAAGGAGAGGAAATTTAAACACAGACTGTGTAGACACGGGGGTAACCAGGTGAGGACACAGAGAGAAGATGGCCACCCACCAGCCAAGGGGAGAGACCTCAGGAGATGCCAACTCCACTGGCACCTGGATCTTGGACTTCCAGCCTCCAGAGCTATGAGACAATAAATTTTTCTTGTTTAAGCCCTTCAGGCTGCAGGGTTTTGTTACGGTAGCCCTAGCAAAACTAATGCAGCCCCTAAACTTTTTTTTTGTTTAATGTTTATTTATATTTAATTGGCTGCACCAAATCTGAGTTGCAGCACTCAGGGTCTTTAGTTGTGGAATGCGGGATCTAGTGCCCTGACCAGGGATGGAACCCCAGGACCCCCTGCATTGGTAGTGCGGAGTCTTAGCCAATGGACCACCAGGGAAGTCCCTCCCCCTAAATCCCCCCCGCCCCCACAACCTGGGCAAATGTTGGGACACCAGAGGAAATACTAGTCACATTAAGTTACGAGTGACCAGTGCAAGTTTTGTGTCCCTACGTCTCATACACAATGAGTTCCGAACTCTGCAACATTGGGCAATAGCTTTGGAAACCGCCTTTGCCCACTACTCCCTCGCGTCCGTAGGGGCGCTAATAAGAGTTAAACCTATCCTGGGACTGAGTTCATGGGCGGAGGTTTAGGAGAATCAAGACCCTCCCCCGGGGGGCAGCTGGATGACAGATCTGCCTTGGACCACAACCAGGCGTGTAAGCTTGGGTAAGTCACCGCACCTCTCCCAGCCCTGGTTTTGTCCTCTGTAAAATGAGGGCGGCCGGGTTGCTAGGAAAATTAAAGGTGCTCATTTCACAGGTCCTCTGGCTCCTATCTGCTCAGGACACCCACCAGCCACATCTAAGACGGGGGGTGAACACCAGGATCTTAAGGTGGGGAAGAGGGTGCGGAACCCGGACCGCCCTCCTCTCCAAAGAAGAGAGGGAGAAGCTGATTGTGAGCGTGAAGACCTTTAAACACCCTTGTTTTCCGCCCCTTGTAGTGCCCAGGGGGAAGCCCGGATAAAAGCCAACTTCAGAAAATTGCTTCCAGTGACCTTGGATTTCATGACCTCTCCAATCAGGATACAGGGGCCTTTGGCGAGAAATTCAGACTCGGATTTTCAAAGCACAGAAGCCCGATGGCTGCAGCACCTGCACCAGGAAAGGGCAATCCGGCGCGAGGAGCCAGACCCCCGGGGAACCGCAGCGCCGACTCAGCCGTCTCCGAGCGAGATCGATCTCCATCCGGCAGGGCCGTTTCCTTCGCCCGGCCCCGCGGCTCCGGGGCTGCGGCCGCGCGCGGCCAATTAGGGACTCGGGGACCCGACGGCGCAGCGCTCCAGCCGACGCCGCGCCCTCCCCGCCCGGCCGACCGCTCGCCCACTTCGCTGGGGGCGAGGACAGCCCGCGTCCCCTCGCCATGCGGGCGGTGCTCACAGTGAGCCCCTGCGCGCTCGGCAGCCCCCTGAAGGCGCCGAGGCCCCGCGGCCCCCGCGTGGTCCCCGCGATGGGGGTGGGGCGCGGCGCCCCCTGGCGGACATCGGCTCCCTCGAGCCGCTTCAGATGTTCAAGTTCGGTCATCTGGGGTGGTTTTCCAGCTAAAACGTACGCACACACGCAGGCACACACACACACGCAGTCACACACACACACACACACACACGCAGGCACACGCACGCACACACGCACTCACAAATAAAAGCCAGATGAGAGATTTCAGTTGGGTGCATCGGAGATCTCAGTGGCAAGATTCACACAGGCTGAGTCAAAGAACAGAAAAGCAATAAAAACGAAAAATGGGTTCGGCCAGAAAACTGCCGAGAAAGCTCTGGAACTGAACGCTATGTACCCAACAGCCACAGAACACTCGGTGTTCCTTCTGGACTTATCTGCCCCGGGAAATAGAGGCGTGTGGCATTTCTCTCCTGGAACCACTGTGTATTTGGCAAGGAAGGAATGCTTTGCAAATGCCACTTGCTTTTTTTTTTTTTTTTCCTGAATGTATAATACTGACTCAGGAAGCCTGCTGTCAGAAAAGGGAATGTCTCCTGTAGGCTCAATGAAGAAGAGAGTTAAAGCACCATAAACTTAAGGAGTTTCATTTGTTGGTTTGATGGAAGTAGAAATGATAAGTAAACTGTGTTCATATGAACGTCTGAAAAAGCTTGTAACGCTCTGTGACAACTCTAATCCAGCCTTGTGTTTTATTCCCTTAATAAAACATTTAAATGTGGAAAATGTCTAGGAGTTTCAGCCATCTGCGGCAGGCAGTCAGCCCCGTGATGGGGGGCCCTTCTTCTGTCACTCATTCTGTGCATGGATGGCAGTGTAGTCAGTCATGCAATGGGATCTCATATAACCTCCAGCAGAGGTAACAGGCTGACACTTCTGCACAGAGCTGCAGGCGACGGAGAGAGAAAAAAAGAGGAGGAGACAAGGCAAGAGAGAGAGAGAGAGAGAACTGCTCTTGTTGGCTTTGCAAACTAAATTAAAAGACATGTCCTTTTTGGACCAAATCAAAAAGATGGCACTGTGTTCCTCAGGGCCTGGAGTTCTCAATCCTGGGGAAACCAGAGGGGCAGAGGAGCTAGGAGGGGTGAAGGGTCTCCTGGACGGCCTAAGGCCCAGCCTGACTCAGAGGACATCTTGGTCCATGCTTAACCACATGGAGGCCATCTTCGGTCATTCTTGAGAAAAGTCAAAATGATGGTCCAGGCTTCCTACCCACCACTCGGCCTATGCAAGTCAGGGCTGCACTTCCTGCCTGGAGCAGCAGGAAGAGAAGTTGGTTACTCCGTGTGGATATTTAAACACCCCTGTTTGTTGAATTCTGCTCAATGTTATGTGACAGCCTGGATGGGAGGGGAGTTTGGGGGAGAATGCATACACATATATACATACATACTCAGCCGTACACAGCTGAGTCCCTTTGCTGTCCACCTGAAACTGTCACAACATTGTTAATCCGCCATACTCCAATATAATATAAAAAGTGAAACAATAAATAAACAATAAACACCCCTGTTTTCCCCCACTCAGCCCTGCCATTAATTACCATTCAGGAGAAATGGAAGAGCCTGGGGCACTGGAGGTTGAAATGGATCTAGGGAGTAGAGACTTGCAGAAGTGGGGGAAGGGAGGGATCTTAAATTTACATAATTTGGAAAAATGTTATAGGTTCTGCTTTAGCTTTTGTGTTAAGTGATCAACTCAAGTCATTATATGTTTACAAATACTTTTTAATTGCAGAGGAGAGGAAAAGTTGGAAAACAAAGCAGTAAGGAATGAAGGCAACTTGATGTCTGTTTATTGGTGAAATAATAACTTTTCTTATCTAATCAAGACTAGTTAAGACCAAAGAGAGCCAGCACCACTCCATTATTATGGTAGCAAACATGTGACATCTGTTGTGGCCAAACATGCTTGTGATGAAAGTCCTAACATCTTTGCTTATCTGCAGATGTAATGAAACTCTGCGTAGTTTTTTTTTCCTATCTTTTTTTTTTCCTCTCTTTTTTTTTTTCTGCATACTTTACATTGTTGATTCTCAAAAAGTGTCACCTTGGAACATATTCAAGATGCAGATCTTCAGGTCTCTTCCTAGACCTCCTGAATAAGAAACTCTGAAGGTAGACTCAGCAGTCTGCTTTAACAAATCCTCCAGCCTGCAATGCAGGAGACCCAGGTTTGATCCCTGGGTAGGGAAGATCCCCTGGAGAAGGGAATGGTTACCCACTCTAGTAGTCTTGCCTGGAGAATGCCATGGACAGAGGAGCCTGGCAGGCTCCAGCGCTTGGGGTTGCAAAGACTCAAACACGACTGAACGACTAACGCACACCAGGCGATTCTGACACTCTAAAGTTGAAGAATCTCTGCTCTGCATCATATCTTCCTTGTGGTGTCAAGTATGTAACTTTGATCTGAAAGTCAGAGTAAATTCATGAGTGATGGGCTTAAAGTCCGGTTTGGAATATGGAAAATAAAAGGTTGATAAATATGAAATCATCATTCGCAACTCTTACTAAGTATAAGACACTGCATAAATCAGCAGACAGCCTATGAGAAGAGACAGATAAGATGAAAGGGGAGGGGAACAGGCTTCATGGAAGCTGGAGGGAGGTATATGGTGATGAGCCACGGGCACTGCTGCCAGCCGTGCCCATTGAACATCTCCATCACTGATAATAAGCCAGTGCTTACCAACTTTGACATTTGCAGATCTAACTAGGGGATTCGTGGAAATCCCAAATTGATAGATCTGGGAAGACAGCAACAGAACTGGGATGATGGTTTAAAGCTAATAGTTTGTCATTTATTGGGGATAAAGTATTGCAGTCAGGGGGCTTCCCAGGTGGCTTAGCAGTAAAGAATCCACCTACCAATGCAGGAGACACGGGTTCGATCCCTGGGCCGTGAAGAATCCTTGGAGGAGGGCATGGCACCCTGCTCCCATATTCTTGCCTGCAAAATTCCATGGACAGAGGATCCTGGTGGGCTACAGTCCATAGAATAGGGTCACAAAGAGTCGGACATGACTAAAGCAATTTAGCCACACACAAAGAAAATATACTCAGTGTAAGAGTCAATAGTATGATATGACCACCAGAAGATGTTAATGAGACATTAAGCTCTCTTAAAGAAAGCCTTGTCTTTTAAGCGGAGTATGTAGACTGGAAAAATTCCCTCCAAAGCTACCCTTGTCCTTATCTCTGGAGCCTGTGGATGCTACCTTATAAGGGCTTTGCCTTGCACGTGTGATGAAGTTAGGGGTCTTGAGATGGGGAGATGGTCCAAAATTATCCAGGTGAGCCCTAAATGCAATCAGATGCATTCCTCTTAAGAGGGAAGCAAAGGGAGATGTTATTAAATACAAAAGAGACAGTGCTGTGAAGGCAGATGGAGGGATTTGAAAGTGCTGGCCTTGAAGAGTGGAGCAAAGCTGCCACAAAACCAAGGAAAGCCGGCTGCCACCAGGAGCCAGAAGAGACAACAGTCTCAGGGTGGGTAGGGGGTGGGGGACAGTCCTGCTGACACCTTGATTTTGGCCCAGGAATACTGATTTTGGAATTCTGGCTTCCAGAAGTGTGAGACAATAAAGTCCTGTTGTTTCAAGCCATCATGTTTGTGGTCACCTGTTACAGAGGCCACAGGAAATTAACCCAGGGAGAGAGAAGAGAGTTCCTTTCCATCTTTCCCTTGGCAGGACTGTGTTTGGTCTGGGCACCACACTTGGGAGATTCATTTACTGAAAGAAGCTTTACGAGTTGTTCTGAACCGTCCCAACAGGAAAAATGAAGACCAACAGTTGTAAGCTACCAGGTGACAAATTTCAGCTTAAAATAAGGAAGCACCCAGTGTTAGTTGATCAGTCGTGTCTGACTCTAACCCCAAGGACTGTAGCCCGCCAGGCTCCTCTGTCCGTGGGATTCTCCAGGCAAGAACACCAGAGTGCATAGCCATTTCCTTCTCCAGGGGACCTTCCCGACCCAAGGATTGAACCTGGGTCTTCTGCATTGCAGACTCTTTACCATCTGAACCACCAGGGAAACCCAAAGAGGAAATCAGCAACTTCAACTGGTAGTGATGCCACCATGATGGAAAGTATTCAAGCAGAGACTGAGCAGCATTTATTAGGAATGTGAATGCTGTAAAGGCGGTTCTCGCCCCAGAGGCAGGATGGGTTGGAGACTGGATAAAAAAATCCCTTTGAACCCAGGGATTCTAAGCCAGAGTGATTTTACAGCACTTCTCTGCTCTCACTGGAGCCCAGGCAGACAGGAAGAGTGTACAAACAGTTGTAAAAGTCTGAGCATGCAATGATTAAACCCAGGCACGGATGTGGCTTTGGAGATGGAAAGGAAGGAATGCATTTTTAAAAAGGTTTTGGAGGCTGAAGTAATCAGCCTTTGGCAGCAGCTCGAATCTGGAGAGAGGGGAGTATTTATTAGGTGCCTACTAAGAGCATTGACCCGGTAGCCATGGGCAAAATAAATAAAGGATGGACGCCTATCTCCGGGAGAGAGGGGAGCCCACGGGAGATAATTAGGGACCCGGGTGCAGTAATGACGCCGCTGTGATGTGAGTGAGACAGGAGCACAGAAGGGCATGGAGAAGGCTAGATCCATCAGAGTTTGGGGTTTGATGTTTGAGGAAGTGGGGACGTGGGAGGAGGGAACTGAGGCTGGGCTTGGAGCTGCAGTGCCGGCAACAACAAAGGCTGTAACGGTGTGAGATACCCACGACGACGTCCAGCTGTTGTCACGTTCAATTTGAATGTGGTTGCGGTGCCTCCAAGGAGAGGATCTTGGTGA